AGCTCAGCGGCTGCTCAGCTCGGGCTGGACTTGAACTGCTGTTGCTCAGAGCTCAAACTCTTGAGCGAGCTCTTAACCAACTGAGCCACTCAGCCGGCCCAAGAATCATTTATATTCTATTTGAATATCCAAGAGTCTATAAGATAGATAACAATTTTCTGTTGTTATCCCCTTTCATAGAAGAATAAACTAAGGCCTAGATATATTAGGAAACTTGCCTATAATATAGTAGCCAGAATGACAGACCCAGGATTCAAATGCAAGAGTAGGTGACTCCAAAGCCTTTGCTTTTGACCTTTCTGCTTTATTGACTGGCATAAAGAATGAATTAAAATCAGATAAGACATATGAAGGGAATCCTCTGTGACTATGAGCAAACTTCTCATTTTCATCATTGGACTATAATACCTACTGTTCTCTGTCTTTGGACCCTTCTCTGTAAACAGTATATAATATAAAACCCCTTGTCATAAGATCTCTGGAGATCTGTTTACTCCTTCTAAAAATTTAGACCGCTCAGTGAGGGTACCTATCATGGAGAAACAGAATTTGGAGACTTTTGGTTGCCACAGAATCCTCAGTAACACCTATCAGATTTTAGAGCATAGGACCTTCCAGTGACTGGATAACTGAAGCAGTTGTTCTGATGCCATCCATTCTTGGTATACAAGAAATAAAAGCCTTGACTCTACGCCCTCCCATTTAAAGTGTAGCTATTTATTTATTTTCATAGGTATAAGATATGCTTTTGAAAACAAAAGCTGACACAGCTTGATTGTTCCCTTAGGTCTGACGGTAACGGCTGTAAAAGATTCAGGAGAATGGAATTTGGAGGCTGGGGCGCTAGTGCTTGCAGACGCGGGCCTCTGCTGTATCGATGAGTTCAATAGCCTTAAAGAGCATGACAGAACCAGTATCCACGAGGCAATGGAGCAACAGACCATAAGTGTTGCTAAGGCTGGGTAAGAGTTCCTTTCCTTTGAAACCTACTGGGATGGTGAGATTAGTTAATACATGATTATGGGAAAATGTGAACCTTGTTATTGAAGTGCAAGGTATAGTTGGTCCTCTCCGTGATTGTCACTGAACACCCTTCAAGACACATAGCAGTTTTCCCGTGGGGGTGGATGAGGGAAGTAAAATGAGTTGTTGGGAAAAAGAAAGGGAAGCCTAAAGTCTAAATGTAAGTTGACTTAATTCATGGAGGGGACTTATAAAGAGCTTTCAAGGCAGGATTCTCATTCAATAATTATATGTCTACTCTGGCTATATTAGTATGTTGAGAATTTTGAAATATTCAAAAAGAAAAAAATATAATATCTGCTTTCAATGGCATTCTCCTTGTATAGCTTCATGGAAGATTGATCACAGCATATGGAAAATGAAATAATAATAATAATATATATTATTATAGCATAAGATGAAGTACCTGTTGTGACTCAAGGAGACTTGGGTTGAGGTATGTGAGTCCCTGGATGAAGTGGAAAAATAGGCAGGTTCAAGCCCTAGGTGGTTATGGGAAACTTACTTGGCCACAAAAACTGACCGCCAAGCAGGCTGCCAGGCCATCCAAGCAAAGGACAGAGCCCGAACTATCTCAGCCCTAATGCCACTATTAGAGGCGTGAGGCCAGCTGATCAGGCAGATAGGGCTGCCAGCAGAGTCTTCAAACAGTAGTGGTTACTTGGGAGCCAGGCAGACACTGGCGTTATAGACTCTGTGAGATCTATTCATATTCATTAGCAAAAAAGGAAGCGGGCAGGGAGGTGAGAACAGGATATAGCCCAGAGGGAAAAGATACAAGAAAAACTAGACAGAACCATTATCAGACCTGTTCATTTCACTCGACAGATATTCACTCAAATATATATTTATTAAGAGCCTGCTCTATGCCAGGCACTGTGCCCGACACTGAGAAGCACGAAGATGAAATACCACACTGTTCTTGAGGTGTTCCCTGTTTTGTTGGGAAAGCTAGATGCAAGAGCAGTAAAATGATAAGTCCATGATAAAAGTGTTATGAGAGAACATACTTTAAAAATAATTACTGCTTTAAAACTGTTTATCAGGGAAATCACAGATAATAGTTCACTAACTGTCTTTCAGGATACTTTCTTTTCTCTTTATGTCTCCATTTAATTAGCACCTTTGCTGGTTCGTAGAATCTGTGGTTTATTTTGATATACCTTTTCTGGAGGAAATATGAGGCATTTTAAAAGATTCCTAAATAGTTAAGCCTGGTATCAGGGAAAATTGGGACAAATGCTATGAATGTATTTTCGAAAGGGAGAACATTGGCAGTGCTGTATAATGTAGACTGCAGAACAAATCTTTGTGAAGATTTTATTAACCACTCCTACTGCCTTTATCCTCTGCTGAGTGTGAATTAGTATGCACCTTTCATGCTACCCATAAGTGTGTCATAAGTTCCAAAAGAAACGTTCTTGTAGATAAACAGTTTGCTGTGGCACCCACTGCTTGGACAGTCTTGTCATACTATAACCACTTCAAGCACTGGAGCAGTACTTTTCAGACTGTTGATAGGGAAGGACTAGTTTTAATGCTTTTTTCAGTCTATCAGAGAGCAGTATTGTTATAAAGTACAATAAAATTGTTTTAAAAATTAAAAAGGCAAAGACATATGAGTTATAAGCCTAAGTTCTTCCACTTAGGATGAAGAAAGCAGTAAGAGCATGTCCCTCCCATTCTAACAAGAAAAACCCAGATAGTCCACGAAAGTCGTAACATTCCCTGAACTTAACCAGGGAGCTGAGGTTACAAGGAAATCAAGGGAACTTAATTCCAAAGTGTAACAAGCCCCTCCAAAGAGAGATGAAACACACAAACTGTCACCTTGGACAGCATGAGAGGAAGAGGTGGCTGCCATAGAAGCAAATAAGGAGAAATAAGTAAAATTAATTTTAAATTCCCTGAAGGCCAAGCGTGGGCTAGCATATCAATTTAGAATAACTGGGAGCTCTAAACACAAAAGGAGTTCTCACTTGCAAGCCCTTCTCCATGAGTCTCTGCCAGATGCTCACAAGAAACAATGGGCAGGACAGAAGTCCAGAGAGGCCCTCCCCTGCCCTCATCAGCCATGCAAGCCTGAGATGCGATTGCTGCTGGGGAATAGGCACAAAACCCTGCTGCTTCCCCAGACACGTCTCTCACATGGAGCAAAACCCGATCCCTGTAAGCAGGGCCTCTGGGGTAGAGTAGGAGGAAAAATCCTGCCCTGGAGGGAAGGGCAGGAAAGTCCAGGATCCTAAACTGGTACAAAACAGAGGTCTGTACAGTGGGGTGAGGGACAGAAAAGCCCCTCCTGCCCAAGAACTACCACGGACATATGGCAGGATTCAGCTGCCACAGATGGGAGGGGCAGAAAGGCTGATAGCTCTCCTTATAGCTCTCCTCGCCCCAAAATCAGCCTAACCCCGAGTAACACGCAGTAGTAGTCTGCCTCTGGGGAAGGTGCAGGAGTGTGGAAAGAGATCCCCGTGTGGTGCAGGGGTGCCATGATGCTGGAAGCTGAGGGTAGATCAGAAACACTGACCGTAATCTCCCAGCACAGCACTGCGCTGCGGTCCTCACACTGAGGAAGACGTAATGGCAGCTCAGCACTGGAAGAATTTGAAGTCTGGCTCACTGAGGGTAGGACAGCAACGGCCACGCCAATATCCAGTCAGTTGTGAGGGCCTCACACTACACATGAAGTGCTGTGAGGTTATTTGAAGGTAGGCTGTAATAAGTTACAGATGGAAACTCTAGAACAACCACTAGAAAATAAAAGAGGCATAACCAATAAGCCAGTTGTAGAGGTAAAGTAGTAATAAAAAATAATCCAAAGGAAGACAAGGGAAGAAAAGGGCAACAAAGAATAGATGGAACAAATAGAACAAACAAAGCAAGATAATTCAAATTCAGCCATATTAATAATTAATAAATCATTTAAACAATTAAAAGGCAGAGATTGTCAGATTGGATAAAAAAGCAAGACCCAACTAAATACTGCCCTCAAGAAACTGACTTTAAATTCAAACACATAGGTAAATTAAAAGTAAAAGGATAGGGAAAAATTCCATGGAAACACCAAAACCTGACCAAGAAATTACAGGAAAATACAGACCAATATCCCCCATGAACAAAGACACAAAAATTCCTACCAATTCTTTAGTAAATAAATCCAGCATTATATAAAAAGGATTATATAATATAACTAAGTGGGGCTTATCTCAGTAATGCAAAGTTGCTGTAACATTTGCAATCAAATGGTATAAGGATACACATATGTAGAACAACGGAAGAAAATACAGGTCCAGAAATAGACCCACAGGTAAAAAGTCAGTTGATTTTCAAGAATGATGCCAGGATAAATCAATGGAAAAAAGATACTCAGTTCAAAAAAATGATGCTTCCATTTACAAAATGACCTGTACATGAATACTTATAGCAGCTTTATTCATAATCACCCAAGACTGAAAACAGCCCAGAAATCCATCATGTGGTGAATGGAAAAACATATTTTATACATCCATGAAATGAGATATAAATATAAATAAGCAATATAAAGGAACAAACTATTGATATGTGCAACAACATGGATGAATCTTTTTTTTTAGCTGAGCCATCCTGCCACCTGTTGGCAGCTCAACGGCAGCTCAGCTCGGGCCAGGAATCAAACCGCCAGTTGCTTAGAGCTCGCACTCTTGAGTGAGCTCTTAACCAACTGAGCCACTCGGCTGGCCCTGGATGAGTCTTTTAAAAGCACTATGTGAAGTGAAAGATCCAGGCACAAAAGACTATAGTTTATGATTTCATTTATATGAAATTCTAAAAGGCAAAAGCTATAAGGAGAGAAATCAGATTAGTGGTTGCCAGGGATTGAGAGTTAGGGGGGGGGGGGATTGACTGCAGAGGGGCACCCTAAAACTTTGAATTTTACTGTAAATTATACTACAATTTTAAAAATATGTAAATGCATATATTTTATTTTTAGCTTTAACAGACATGAAATCGCTGTCAAATTGCTATTGAAGTTTCTAAACACTTACGTCTTTCTGTACTCATCTCTTCCCTGACAGGTAACAGCATATGAATAGATAGATACAAGTTCACAGCCCAAGCTGTGAGCCCTGATGGTGACATGCACAGTAAGACAACACCACACAAGGATAGAGAGGAAGGGGATGGAAAGGAATAACAGTGCCAGGGAGACTGATACATGTATCATTAGTAAAACCCTTTTTAAACATATTGAAGTGACATCTTCTAAAGGAAATAATTTATTTAAAGAATGATTTTCAAATTGGATTTCTTTTGTCTATTGGGAAAGGAGAGGACTCACAGCTGGGAGATGAGATTGGAATTCTATTTTGCTACTACTCTTTACAGTCAATTTTTTCATTGTTTCCCCTTCACACCATCTATCAAATGTACACTGTATTGAAAGGCGTTTTGCCTGAGAAGCACTTTGAGTGCTTTGATGTAATGAACTTTTCTCAAAGGTTTCGTTTTTAGACGATTGCACCATGGTAGGCATTGACATTATCGTTATTATTATGGCAAACATTTGTATGATTATCTTTTCAAGATAAAATTCTTCAAATGTTTCTTTTTTGTGTTGGCTACTGTCCAGAGTTTAATACCTCTTTGAACTGTGCCCTGGATCATTTTTAGGCTTCCAGCTACTCCATGACCCTCCCAAGACTGCCACCTCTGGTTCCAGGAACTTTGAGGTTTCTTTCTGTTCCCCAGTAAGTTACTGCTTTGATTCATAAGGTCTCAAACCTGTTCTCAATATTTCCCCACTCCGTGTGGGCCTCTCTCTTTCTAGGGGTGATTTCATCTGTTCCACCATCACGAGGACCCCTTTGCTCTCCCCTCCTTTTCACTTAGTCTCCACTGATCTTTCCATTCCAGTATGGGCTCTAGATTAGCTTTGCTGGTTTCTAATGTCTATTTG